CACCCATGTCTCGAATGGCCAATGCGAGTTCGCTCAAAATTTAACACGTACACATGCAATATATACCGCATCGGAAATGCTTGAACTCCATTAATTATACCCGTGCTAGTTTTACGAAATCCACGGTTGTAATTTCACTACGAATCTACGAATTAAACCGGTTGTTATTGATCGTCATGTATCGTAATGCAACATATGCGAAAAAAACGTGCTCTACCGCTGCTGGCGGAAAACCGGGGGGGGGTCACTACCTGTTCGAACGCCCCCCCCCCCTTATACGCGCAAAATCAGAGCCTTAATTTAATCAACCTTTCTTTTTTCTTGGCGTGAGCAACCGGAGAACTCCCTTTCTCTGCGTTTGCTCCTCGGTGCGCCGCTCGCTTCCCTCCGGCTCTTATCCTTCGCCCCCCTTCTCTATCCTTAGCCGCTCCCTGCTCCAATTGTCCGTCATTCGCTTGGCCCCGGAGGTGGCCCTCGAGGCTTTGGCATCGGACCTCTCCTCCACTCTTCTTTGCTCCTCCCTTTGCGCGACTGTCCAAACCGTTGCGCCCCCCGCGAAAAATTCGCGAGAGCCCGGACCCCCACGAAAAATTCGCGAGAGTCCCGCGACAGATTCGTGTGAATCCTTCGCGCCGTGCACTGTCCCCTGAGGCGCCCCCTGGGCTACCTCGCCCCCATGGAACCCCCCTGGTCGATTCGCGAGGGCTGTTCCCGCGCGAGACCACCCCGAGCGACTCGTGCAGGAAATGAGCGGCGGAGACCCCCTCGGATGATTCCACCGCTCGGACCGACCCCCTCCCGGGCGAGTTGGCCCGTCCTGGAACCCCCCGGGCGATCCAGGACCCCCCGCGCCTTCCCAGGAGAGCGGGGACGCCTACAGGAAAAGCCCCCGCCTAAACACCCCCTTTCGAGGGAACTTTGGCGGGGGCGATCCGCGCTGGGGCGGCAGTCGAACCCCCCGGGCGATCGACCGCGGCAGATTCCCCCCACATAAAAAAACAAAAAACACAAAGAAACACAAACCGACACACAAAAAACACAAAAAACACCGGGCGGAACATAAAAACACAAAAACCACACACGCACACAAAAAATACTAAATTACGGCTCTGACTTTGCACACCGACCCCCCCCCGTTCTCTCGAAAACCGGGTGGGGGTCACTACCGGTTCGAACCCCTCCCCCCCCGCTTACCGCCAGCAAACAACTCTCGGTCCATACCACCGTCCGCACCACATCGCCACTGCTGTCCCCAGCACCACTGTCCTCACCACCACTGTCCCCGCTGTTTCTGCCCCCGTCCCTACTGTCCCCACCAGTGCCCCCACCACTGTCGCACTGTCCCCAGTGTCCCCGCCACTGTTCCCACCACGGTTCCATTCTCCCTTTTTTCTCCACGGCTCCAACCATTGCCCGACTGTCCCCATTGTCCCTTCTGTCCCACTGTCTCTTCCGCTGTCCCACTGTTCCCACCACTGTCCCCACCACTGTCCCCGCTGTACCTCTATCCCAATGTCCCACCGCCGTCCTCGCCACCGCCCTCACCACTGTTCCCACCACCTCTGTACCCTCCTCCACGGTCCCACTGTTTCCACTACATTCTCTTTGTCCCCACACCACTGTCCCCACCACAACCCCCTCCAACATTGTCCCACTGTCCCCACTGTTCCCGCCATTGTCCCCGCTGTCCCCACCAATGCCCCACCAGTGTGTCATTGTCCCACAACGGTCCCGCCCTCCCCACTTTCCCCGCCGCTGTCCCACTGTGCTGTCCCAGCGTCCCCACTGTCCCCATCACTGTCCTTCTGTCCCCATTGTCCCCACCACTTTCCCCACTGTGCTACTGTCCCACCACTTTCCTCATCACCGCCTTCACCAGTCCCCACTACTACCGTCCACACCACTGTCCCACTGTCTCCAACACTGTCCCGCTGTCCCCTCACCACTGTCCCCACCACCACCGTCCCCACCACTGTCCGCACCCCCTCTCGGATTTCGAGGGGGAGGGGTCGAACCGGTAATGACCCCCCCGGTTTTCGAGGGGGGAGGGGGTTCGAACCCCCCCCCCCTTTTCATGATCAACCCAGGGGGGGGGGAGGGGTTCGAACCGGTAGTGACCCTCCACAATTTTCGGAAGGGGGGGGGGTTCGAACCGGTAGTGACCCCCCCGGTTTTCCGCCAGCAGCGGTAGACCATGCTCTTTCGGATATGTTGTATGACGGTGCATAAAACAAGCGTTTCATTCGTGGTGAACTGAACGAACTCGCACTGGCCCTTCAAGACATGGGTGGTTGAGGATATTTCCCTCTTCCACTCCTTTCTTGTCATTCGGGGAGGGGGTTTGCCCCTCCCCCTGGGGATTTGGACGAAGTGCTACTCGAGCGGTCGAAACGTCTAAAACGGCTCCAATGAGAAGCCAAAATCATTTGCTTTATTACGGTTTCGGCCCCATTTGAATTTTGTTGAGGAGTAACGCTAGTTGAGACCGGCTCTTCTTTGATTGATCTCTTCCGACATGGCTCCACGAACGATTCCCAGGCCCACAGAGAGCGCCTGGGCGAACCCAATATGACCTTCAAGATGGCTCACGATATCGTAAAATGCCTCGATATGGCTGCCACGATGCTCCAAGAGGCTCCAAGACCGCTCCAAGACGGCTCCAAATGGCCAAAGAGCTCCCCCAGGAGGCCCCGAAGAGGCCAACTCTTTCCAAGGCATGTTTTTGGCTTTCTCGCCTTTTCACTTCCGATGGCCATCCGAGGCCTCAAGATGGCCCCAAGAGGGCTCCAAGAGCGCTCCCAAGGCCCCCAAAAACGCTTCAAACGAGCCCCCAGAGGCGCCCAGGAGGCCCCAACAAGCGCCCAGGAGGCCTCCAAGAGGCTCCCAAAAGATCTCCCAAAGCCGCAAGAAACTCTCCAAGGCACCCAAAACGCTTTAAGAGGCGTCCCGGACCACCAAGAGGCCCCCAAGACGCTCCAAGAAACCTCCACTGGGGGACCGTTCCCCTGCATGCTGCCTACTTCCCTGATCGAGGCAAGTCCTCTGTGCATCGTTTCTGGATGGACTGGGGGGGCCACGCGAAGCGTGAAATAATTGTTTCTCTGGGGATGCTTCTTCAATTTGGTTTGTTCCGTTTTGTGCAGCTCTTGCACTTTCCTCAATCTAATGCATAGTCGGTATAACCTATCAAGGCCATTTTTAATTGTAATGCAACTTCTCACTTAGGGCGCTTGTTTTCCTTCTTCATATGACGGACTCAAACAAAATTTGGCGCATTCCGTTTCGATTCACTGAGCAGCGCGTTTACAAAAACGCGTGGAGCACGCGGGAGGAAAATCCCCAAACCATTCGCAACAATGTTCAAGGATTGCATCGAAATGAAAAACCTCATGCCATGTGGGATCGCTCGAGAACGTGCGTTCACGGATCGGGCCGTGCCAGCCCAACGTGTGAAATCCTGAACTCGCGAGTCAATCCTTGTCACTTTTTTGGGTTGGCCTATCCACATGGATGCCGCCGCCGGCGCAACTCATTGCAAGCCAACCCTTCTCATCGAGAAAGTTGCGAACATGAAAACAAACTCTTCGATGCCATCCCACTCGATTCCGTCGACCCTCAGGAGAGCCGCGAACAAACATTGGAACAGGAGGAGGGAACGGCAGCTCGGTTTCTTTCTTTGTTCGCAACCTTTTTGATGCTGCGCTTCGCAATGACATGAAGGGTGTTCCTGGCCCATTTCCTGCGCGATATTGCGCACTCCCTTTGTGTGCGCGTTGGCCTCGGGGCTCGTGTTCCGGGCGCCCCCATTCCACCTCTCCCTTTCCCCTTCTTTCCTTCCTGCTGTCCTTTCTTCCTCCCCCTCCTCCTCCTGCTCTTCCTCGAGCCTCGTCCAACTCCAAAATCTTGTACTGCGTGGGCGTAAGCGCTGGCGCCGCCAGAGGAAGCAGGGCCATGGCGCCGCCCCATCCACCCCCAGGAACGTTGATACGCGAGTGGGGCGAGGACTTTACTAGCGAGCAGAGCTGTCCAGGCGATTGATGGCTTCCACGGCCAAGGGATCGAGAGGAGGAGGAGGAGGAGGAATTGCTGAATGAGCAGGAAGAGCAAAGGTGGGCGCGGAGAGGGGGAGGGTGGCGAAGGAAGAGGAAAAGCAGGAGGCGGAGGAAGGGAACGAACAAACGCCGGGGTAGCGGACGGGAGGATAACGGTGTAATATAAGGAGAAAGGGGGTCAAAGCTGGGATGCTGAGTAGGACGATTACAGGATTAAAAATGGCCTCGATAGCAGGGGGGGGAAGGAGGAAGGTGAGAAAGATCAGGGGGATGGGGGGTGCGGCGGAGGGGTGGGAGGAGAAGGAGGTGGGGGGAGGAGGAGCCTCGAGGGAGATAGGCAGCAGCAGTAGGAGTGGAGGAGCAGGAGGGAGCGTGGGAACATGGGAACAAACGCAGACACTCTATGGTTTCGCTTGCAATGAACGACGACGTCGCCGTCGCAGCACTTCCCCGGCTGGCTGTCGCATCGCATCGAACGTAATCTTCGATAATTCTGAATTCTGCTGAAATCCCACTTCGAGCCCCAAGTCGCGACGAAGCTGCATGCGTGAAAGTACTCCGACTGTCCCGTCTGAGTACATCTTGGACACGTGCTCCTTCAGACGCTGTCAAGTATTGGCAGAACCGATCGTCTTCCAACCGAAGTCGTTGGTGGTCCTGATCCAAATCTGGCGGAGGCGGCATGCGCCCTTCCGAATGTCCGTGTGGACACCAAACAAGTTATTCACGCAAGGGCGGGGGCGTTTGCGACGGGCTCGCCAGGGAAGCGCAACAAATCATCGAGCTCAAAACCTCGTCAACTTCGAACTGGCCTTCGGTTTGGGCGCTTTTCTTGCAGAGGTGTGGGCCCTGCGTTTCTCACCCTGGGTTGGCGTCGGCGTTCCGGGCGGAGCCTGCGACGCAGGCTTGGGCGTCAGGGGGGTCCTTCGATTTGCCGTCGTCTTGAACCCTTGCCGCCCTTGCTCGCGACGCTCGCCTTCGCCTTGCTCGTCAGCTTGTTCTGCGCTAGCGCGCAGCTCGCATCCTTCGCGCCGCCGTCCTGATGCTCGGCCGCGATGCCCGTGGAGGCGTCGTCGTTTGCGACCTTGCTGTCGATGGTAGCGCCGACCGCTGGCGCCGGCGGCATGTCCTCATCAGAGCTGTCGCCCCCCTTTCCCATGTCCCAATGCCCAGCGGGCTCCAGCGTGATTGTGGCCATGTGGCCCCAGTGTCCTCGATGTTTTTTTTGTGACGTGCCGGGCGACCGCGCTGCGCTATTTCGTGCTCTTCTTCGAGGCTCCTTCGAGTAAGCGGCAGGCCGCTTGCGAACGTTGGTCTCGGACTCGTCGTTGCTCTCGAGATCGTCGTGCCAGATCTCTTTGGGCGTTGTCTTGGCCGACGTATCTTTCATTGCTCATGCCATCGTGTCCAACGGCGTCTGCGTCTTAGACGTCGCGTCGACCGGCCCGACTGCGGGGGCTGCATATATGATCGGCGCGTCTGGCTTGGTGCTCTGCCTGGGCTCCGCTACGATTTCAGAGGTCTCTGCTGAGACTGGTGGGGCTCCGCCTTTGAGCTGGTGCGGCTGCGGTGCCTGGCTGACTCGACAGTGAATGTGGCTGGCCTGACAGGGCTGGCACAGTCGGCCGAGTCGATGGCTGACGCGCTGTGACGCGTCCAGCTTGGCTGCTGGGGGTGGCAGAACAGACTCGATGGTTGACTCGATGCCGTGGCTGGCGGATCCTGCCGGGCTGCTGGGTCTGGGAGGGCCAGCGGGGCATCTGGGGCTGACGAAGCCAGCTGGGCTGCTGGGGCTGCCGAACCTGACTTACTCGATGGCTGACTCGATGTCATTGCTGACTGATCCTGCTGGGCCTCTGGGGCTGGGGGCGCCGGCTGGGCTGCCGTGGCTGGCGCAGCCAGCTGCTGCTCCAGATGCGCGAAGCAGTGTGCCGGATTCAAAGGGCGCTGTTTCGATGGTCCGAGCAAGGGAGGGGGCCCCGTAGCGCCGACCGCCCTCCTGGCGGCTGCGGCCGATCGAAGATGGCCAAGCTCGCCGGAGACCTGCCATTCTGCAAGCTCCGATTGCTCCTCCTCGCAGCCAGCCTGACTCTGAGAGTGATCCGCAAACGCCCCATCAGGCGCCCCTAGGCTTTAGGCGTAGACCCCGAGTCGCGTTTCCAAGAAGGAGGAGGGGCCGATGAGGAGGAGGAGGGGGGAGGGGGGCAAAGGGGAGGATGGGGGCTGGGGCCAGGAAGAAGGGAAGGAGAGGGAAGGGGGGGAGGCCCCCATGTCGCCGCGGCGAGGGTCAAAGTGAAATCCTGCAGAACGCACTCGTGGGTCTAAGAATGTCGTCGGACTGGTATCAGTTCGGGGCGGCGGAAGAGGCGGCAGCCCGTGGATGATCGTGCTTTCGTCGACGGGGCGCGCCATGGGGCCGTTCGCCCGAGTCGCCGAGTCGAAATCGCAGTGGTCGCGGGCAGACGCGGCGGGGAAGTTCCGACGCAGGACGTCTGGGGCGGGACGGGGCCTCCGCACGGGGCCGCGGCGGCCCGCCCTCGGGGAGGTGCGGGCGAGGATCCAGGATTCGCAGGGTCGAGTGGCAATGTTTACATGTATATATGCATGTCAGAGTATATACATACATATTTGTGTATACACATATATATATATATAAATTCATAGAGGCAGATGTAGCCTTACATCTACAACCATAAAAAAACAGATTTGCATACATACTGTGCTCACAAACGGAAGTGGGGGGTGAGCAGCCGCGGCGCCCAATGTCCTGCCCCGCGAACGAACGGCCCTGATGTGATCCTTCGCGTCGCTCACCATCTGGAGGCCCCCAGACGCCTGCAAGCGCAACTGCCGCCTCTGGTTCGCCGCGACCGGCATGGTGGCCACGCCGCTCGCGATGCCCACCTCGCTGAGGCTTGCGAGGCCCGGGCGAGTGACCATGAACGTGGCGGGGCTGTTTATCTTTGCCGCGATGAGGCATGCGCGTCCAAGGAGACATTCCAAATCTCGAGCGGCAGGCAGTCGCGCGGGCAAATGGTGCCCGGGTTCATTTGGAGTGACTGCGGCGCCTGGTCCTTGCGGGCGCCCAGCAATGCTTGGCAGGCGTCCTGGGCGAGAGCTTCGGACGGGCGCGCGGCGTCTTGGTTGTCCACGACTTGGCGCAGATTCTGCACAGAGGTCGCTCGCGCCATGCGGGGCTGGACGTCGACCCTCCAGAAGACCAAAACGCGCCGCGTTGGGGCGATCCCTCTCGTTGCCGACGTGCCGTGGAGCGGGGGGGCTTGAGGGCGCCGATGGGCTGGGCTCGGGTCGAGGCCCTCCCATCGGGCGGGGGGGTGGGGTGGGGGGCGCCAAAAAGCAAGTGAAGAAGAGGGGGGCAGCCCAACAGGAGAGGATGGGGAGCCATAGTCCCCTGTCAGGCCCGCTGCACTGCTCATGCCTGTTTGCGTGGTTATCGGCGCGTGGTTTGCTCGCGCTTGCCCCCTTTCCTCGCGCGCGCTCGATGTCCGCGCGCGTGGCGTGGCTTGCAGGCGCCCCGCTTGACTGCTTCGCGCGAGCTCGTGCAAATAATTCCCCCTTTCCGATTTTCTGCTTGCGCCCTCGGGCCTTCGGCCCTCGCCCTCAGGACCTCAGTCTCTTAATGTTCGCGTTCAGGTCCTCAGGTCATTGATATTTGTCCTCGGGCCCCCTGGCTTTCTCGCCCGCAGGTCTATTGTCCTCGTCCTCAGGTCCTCAGGTCCCCGGGCCCTCAGCATTCGTCTCCAGTTCCCCGGGTCCTCGCATTGCGCCCCGAGGTCCTTGGCATTCGCCCTGAGTTGCTAGTTGCTTGGCAAGGAGAAAGAGAGAGAACAGAGAGAACAGAGAGAAGAGAGAGGGAGAGAGAGAGAGAGAGAGAGAGAGAGAGAGAGAGAGAGAGAGAGAATAAAGAGAGAGAGAAAGAGAGAGATAGAGAGAGAGAGAGAGATAGGGGAAGAGAGAGAGAGAGAGAGATAGGGAGAGAAAGAGAGAGAGAGAGAGAGAGAGATAGGGAGAGAAAGAGAGGAGAGAGAGAGAGAGAGAGAAGAGAGAGAGAGAGAGAGAGAGAGAGAGAGAGAGAAAAGAGAAAAAAAAGAGAGAGAGAGAGAGAGAGAAAACAAACAAGAGAAAGAGAGAGAGAGAGAAGAGGGAGAGAGAGAGATAAGGAGAGAGAGAGAGAGAGAGAGAGAGAGAGAGAGAGAGAAATAGAGAGAGAGAGGGAGAGAGAGAGAGAGAGAGAGAGAGAGAGAGAGAGAGAGAGAGAGAGAGAGAGAGAGAGAGAGAGAGAGAGAGAGAACGGACAAGTAGGCGGACCAGGGCCCGTCCGCGAGGCGCACTGCGGTGCGACAACCCGCAAAACACTATTAGCGGCGGTGCAGCCTTAAGATACGAGGGCGGGCGACAGGCCCCCTCCCCCGGCGCAATGCGTCTGAAGTAAAAGACGGCGGACAGACCATGAAGATCTCACCTGTCAGACCGCGTGAAGAAAAAGGCCCCAACGCAAGTGGCGACGTGAAGAACGTGGCTAAGGCGGCTTGGCGGACCGCCGGTTGGGCGCTTGGCCGCTGCGCGGCGCGCAGAGACGGGGCGCCCCCCGCCCCCGCGCCCAGGCCCCGTGGACGCGGTGCCTCGCGGGCGCACGGGCTGGCGAAAAGAGAAACGGTGCACCAGCTGGGAGCCGAATGGCCCAGCACAGTGCGCACAGGCCGAGAACCCCAACAGGAGCGGCAAAAGCTAGCCGACAGCACAACGGCGCCAGCCGCTGCCAGCTAACCTTTAGCCCCCATTGGCGGACCTCGAAAGTGACAGAGTCCGCGGCCAGGCGGCGGACGGCAGAGGGGCGCCAGACGCACTGAGGAAAAGGTGCACATGCGGGGAGCCGAATGGCCCAGCATGCGCACAGGCAGAGAGACGAAAAGGGAAAAGGTGCACCAGCTGGGAGCCGCATGGCCCAGCACAGTGCGTACAGGCCGAGAACCCCAACAGGAGCGGCAAAAGCTAGCCGACAGCACAGCGGCACCAGCCGCTGCCAGCTAACCTTTAGCCCCCATTGGCGGACCTCGAAAGTGACAGAGTCCGCGGCCAGGCGGCGGACGGCAGAGGGGCGCCAGACGCGCCGAGGAAAAGGTGCACATGCTGGGGCCAAATGGCCCAGCATGCGCACAGGCAGAGACAGTGCAAGGGTGCAGAGGAGGCCCTCACAGCGGATGGACCCGCTACGACATGGCAGACATGACATGGCGTGATGGCACGGGTGCGTGGGGCGGGGCGGAAGCCGCCACCCCCGCCAGCAGGTACGGCACACCAGGGAACAGCGCCCGGGTGAGCAAGGCAGGACGCGCACATGCGGCAAGGGCGAGGCCGTACCACGCTGGTCAGGATGAGGGCAAAGTGAATGGGAAGCCCCAGCGCAATGTGCACAGCACTGCCCTGACACGCTCTTGAAAAGTACAACGCAATTTGTCCCACCAATTTGCTCTGAAAACCTAGCTGTAGAAAGCGAAGGTGGCCGGCCGGGTAAACGTCACCACATTCAGGTAAACGTCACCACATGTCCGAACTGCGGGCCAGAGTCGGGCGGGGGCCAGGAGCTTTCAGACTCCAAAGGCGGAGCTCGATGCATCGGTGGGCAGTCGGCTGCGCGTCGGCATGAGTGAGATCGGGAATTTAAGGGGGTACTGGGGCGATCGGGAATTTAAGGGGGTACAGCTTGAATCACCTTGCACCACCTTGAGCCACCTTGCGTCGGCCTTTCTCGGTCCGTCGTACTGTGGCCCAGCTTCGCGGAACCAGTGGGTGTGCCTAGCAGGGCGGCGGTCGGGGACCGTCACAAGAGGGGGCAGGTACGCGGCCAACACCCATGACAAGAGGATCCGCTTGGCCCGGCGGAGCGCAGGAGCCGGAGCATACTGATAGGGTGGCTCCTCCTGGGCCTGCGCGGCGTCCCCGCCGCCCCCCTCGGCGGCTGCTGCGGCCTTGCGTTTGGCCCTCAGCCTCCTCAGCCTCCTCCTGTCGGAGCGCTCCTCAGCCTCCAGTCGTTGGAGCAGGTCCTGCTCCTTCAGGTGCGACAGCATCTTCGCGACGTCTCGGAGTGCGACTTCCCAGTCAGCTGTGCGTTCAGTCTGGGCGCGGCTGCCTGGTGGGACGGTCAGCGCAGGTGGCCTGCAGGGTACTGCTGCCGTG